GTAGAGACAGGGTTTCACCACGTTGGCCAGGCTGGTCTTGAACTCCTGACCTCAGGTGATCCACCCACCTTGGCCTCTCAAAGTGCTGGGATGACAGCCATGAGCCATCACGCCTGGCCAAGACTCCACACTGTTTCACCATGAATTTAACCATAAGACTCTGAGCAAATCTCTTTGCAGGGCCTCTGTTTCCTTGCTTGTAAAGTGAGAGGTTACGGCCATTTCATGTTCCCCAAAGTTCTAGGACTTTGGGAAAACCAGTTATGGTTCCCCAAGGAAGGCACACTTTGGTCAGAGTGGCTTTGTGATTATTGGGATTACGTATTCATCCCTTCAACAGCTGGCCTTTCCCCAGAGGCAGGCACTGGGGAGACAGTGGGGGACAAAGTAGCCAGGGTCTCTGTCCAGTGGAAGCTCAGAGCCTGGGGAGAGCAACAGGTAGGGATTAGATAACTGGATCCCTCTGTGTCTCCTCTAGTTGCAAGCTGGTACCTGTGCTTTGAAATCAGTTAACTGGGGGTGGGAGTGGGAGTGGGGGTGGGGTGGGAATGCTGCAGGCTGCATGAACAGCAGGCGCTAGGGCCCTGAGGCAGGAGCCTCAGTGTATTAGAAGGACTGGGGGAGGGGGGAGGGGCCATGGGCAGCAGCACAGCAGCAGGAGGAACGTGAGGCCGCATGGACTTAGTGAGTTCTGCAGGGGCATGTGTCCACAGGACCCCCAGCCCTCCTGAGGCTGCTGTGACTTCATCTTAAAGGCAAGGCCAAGTCATCAGAGTGTGTGAGCAGGAGGTAATGAGATCAGCCACTTTGGGCGTCCGCTGCTGCTGCTAATTTCATGTGCACAGTGGTATCCATGGGAAACTCTGAAGAGCCCAAGGCCACATGACCTCTGGCTCCTTCTGGCCCCAGGGTCTGGTGAGGATCAGAGGTACGTGGCCCACATAGGGTCGTGGAAACCCAGTACTTTGCGTCTTGCGTTTGGGATGGGGGTCCTCAGCCCCTCTGGCCATGTTGCACTGTGTTCCCCAGCTTTGGCTGGATGTGGGTCCCAGGTTGTACCCCCAGAGCTTGGCCTGCCCGTAGATACTGAGGATTTTTTTTTTTTTTTTGAAGACAGAGTTTTGCTCTATCACCCAGGCTGGAGTGCAATGCTATCTCGGCTCACTGCAACCCTCGTCTCCTGGGTTCAAGCAATTCTCATGCCTCAGCCTCCCAAGCAGCTGGGATTGCAGGTGTGCATGCAGCTAATTTTTGTATTTTTAATAGAGACAGGGTTTCTCCATGTTGGCTAGGCTGGTCTCGAACTCCTGACCTCAGGTGATCCACGTGCCTTGGCCTCCCAAAGTGCTGGGATTACAGGTGTGAGCCACTGCGCCCAGCCGAGGATTTTTACTTTTTATTTTTTGTATGAAAGTCAAGGATTCGGCCTGGGCTGTTGGTCGCTGTCCTTCCAGCCAGGATACAAGGAGAAGCTCTGGGGGTGGTGCCCCTGCCTCCTTTGCAGGTGCCTGTGCTGTGTCCCTGCCCCTCCGCCCCTCCCTCCGTGGCTCCAGTCAGTCCCTGGTCAGTCTGCTTAGAGGGCAGTGGTATGGGCCCTTCTAGAAGGGCCCAACTTCTAAATCCTTTTCACCCCAAAGTCTGTGGTTTTCCCATGCCCCTGCCACCATCTGGTCACACTGGGTCATATTTCATGCAAGGCCTAGAGCAGGCACCCAGGAAATACTGATATTATGAATGAATGGGTGTCTCCAGGGGCAGCGGTCCTAAGGCCCAGTGAGGCGGGGCCCAGCCAAACACTTTCCCTGAGAGGAGTGAGGGCCAGGGACAGATGGAGCCCCCCAGGTAGGCTGGGGGAGTGGGCAGTGCCTCCATGGAGAGGACGTCAGGCTTGAGCACAGAATGCCAGGGAGAAGGTGCTTTGCCCTCTTTCTGGTTTGAGTGGAAACTCGTGAACAGACACATGTCTGTGGCTGGAATTCCCCAGGTTGCTGTCCCCACAGTATCCAGAGGACAGAAGGCTCTGGTTGAGATGGGACTAGAGTGGAGCCTGGCTCCCTGGGATCCCCACAGCGAGCTCCCCATTGCCCTGGCTCAGGTTTGGGCCTGCAGGGAACCCTCACCCTTGCTGGTGCTGCTACTTGTGCTGGCTCTGCCCTGGCCAGGCCAGGAGTGGGGGTGTCATCGGTGAGATTGAGCTTGTGACTTGTCCCCTGGGCATTCCTGGTGGCCCCTCGGAGCCCGGGTTCCTGGCAAGCAGCTTCCCTGGGCCCGATTTCCCAACCTTCTTGTGGTCTGAAGCCTGAAGCAGAGACACCCAAGCAGGGTGGAGTCAGGGCCCGGATGCAGGAGGGGCCTCTGCGGAGCGCCGTGGCTGCAACACCCTTTTCCTCGGAGTCGCCCACACTGGCCTCTCGGGTGCCTTGAGGCGTCAGCACCTTGGGGATTTCCCCCGGCCTGTGTGGGAGAACTGCCTTTTTCCTTCTTTCCAGGAGGAGCTCGCGCAGGGATGGGCTCTGAGGCCCGGGCCGCGTCTTGCTTCCCTGCCTGTGCTTTGCTCTCTGCAGAGCTCTCAGAGGCTCATGTCTGCAGTCCCCACTGACCAGGCCAGAGGCCTTGGGCTGTCTGCACAGCCTTCTCCTGTGTGGTCAGCTGTCACCCCTACCCTGTCTGCTCAGTCTGTTGCCTCCTGCCCCCTCCTCATGAAGCCTACCAGTGCTCGCCCGGGGCCCCCATGCCCACTCTCAGGGTGACTAGCCCCGAGCCTGCCCAACATCACGGATCCCTCGCCTGCTACTAAGCAGCACACAGGCACGCTCTCAGGGAGTCCTCAGCATCAGGTGTGAGCAGACACGTGCCCATCCCCACTTTCCAGGCGAGGAGTCAGGTCCTCAGAGGACAAGGGACTAAGTAGCCAAGGAAGGCCATGCAATAGCAGATCACAGCCCTCAGACCAAAACCTGATCCGTGCTTCTGAATCTGTGAGCCGAAGCCCTGTGTGGGCTCACCTGGGGGCAGCTTGTCTAGAGGTGACTTCAGTTGTTCTTAAAGTGTGTTCCCCAAATCGGGGTGGACACACGGTCAGCAGCCGAGAGGTGCATAGGTGTTGCATGGTCAATTTTTTTTTTTTTTTAAATAATTGTTTTTCAAGCCGGGCGTGGTGGCTCACGCCTGTAATCCCAAATTCCAACACTTTGGGAGGCTGAGGTGGGCAAATCACCTGAAGTCAGGTGTTTGAAATCAGCCTGACCAACATGGTGAAACCCTGTCTCTACTAAAAATACAAAATTAGCTGGGTGTGGTGGTGCATGCCGATAATTCCAGCTACTCAGGAGGCCAAGGCAGGAGAATCGCTTGAACCCAGGAGGCGGAGGTTGCAGTGAGCCAAGATCGCACCATTGCACTCCAGCCTGGGCAACGAGAGCAAAACTGTCTCAAAAAAACAAAATTGTTTTTCTTTTTGTATCATAGAGTATCATATCAAACTTGTAATTTCATGGATATTGCTTAAGACCAAGCTAATAAAAATAGCAAGTCAATTTTTAAAATTGTGTATAACTAGTCAATATTACCAGGTGATGTACCGAACCAGGAAAAAGTCATGAAGTCTAAAGGTAGGACGGGAATGATGAAAGTTGAGAAGCGGTGATTTCCATCTCAGTCCCATGCCCTGCTCCGTCTGCTGGTCCTGCAGCTCATGGTGGGCACCAGTGGGGGAGCTGAAGGAGGCAGAGCCTTCCACTCGCCATCAGGTTCCAGAGCAGGCAGCCAAGCAGGGTCACCCTTCCCCCCCACAAGGCCCCATCGTGCCCCCCTGATGTCCTCTCCGTCTCCTTCCCTGTGTAGAAGAGATCGTCGCCCATGCCAGCAATGTGTCCTCACTGGTGCTGGGCAAGGCCTCCGGGCGACTGCTGGCTACCGGCGGGGATGACTGCCGCGTCAACCTGTGGTCCATCAACAAGCCCAACTGCATCATGGTGAGCCCCAGCAGCCAGCAGGGGTCAGGACAAGGGCCTGGGGGGAGGGGACGGGCCAGGGGTTGGAGGCTGAGGAGTGAGCAGCTTCTCAGGCTCTGAGCCCAGGGCCTCCTATCCTCTGGGGCCCAGACCAGGGGTGGAGGGGGCGTGGTGGGGACACCATCAGTGCTTCCCCCAGCTGTCTGCTTAGTGAGGCCTAGGGCAGCCCAGCACGGCTGGGACAGTGGCCAGCCCTCAGGAGCGAGGAGTCACCTGCCTGTGGTACTTTTAAGAACTCCAGGCAGGCTTCGTGAGAAGGTTAAGATAAGCCCTGGGCCTGTGGCTGAGCCAAAAGACTTGTAACCCTGCCCCCCCACCTGCCCATCTGCCCGCCTGGCAGCAACATGTGGGCGTTTATTTTAATTCCTTCCCAGCCTTCATTCCCCAGTGAGGATTTGAGGGGACCTGGCTCGAGCTGGTTAGGGAGTTAGTTCTTAAATATCATCTCCCCCACTATTTACGCAGCTCTGTTCAATGCTGGAAACCATTTTCCAAACAGGAGCGCATACAGGAGAAAACAAACATTCATGACATATAGTTCTATTACTCAAAGGCCACCGCAGTGGGTGCTTTGGCTTGAGTCCTTCTTGATGCTGAGACAGATACGTATACGTGTCCACGCACGTGTGTGCACACTTGTACATGATGTACACATGTATACATGCAAATACACATACAAGCACACATGAGTAAAAATGCACTGCCACTCTCTCGCAGCCTGGTTTTTAAAAATAGCAATGCTGCAAGGATTTGCCTGTGTCAACAAATATTCTTTTACAACATAATTTTGAGTGGCTTCATGGTGTTCCTTTGTAGGGATGAGCTGTAATTAGCTTAGCCACACCCTGTTATCACAGGGAGGTTGTTTCCGGCTTGTTCTGAGCTCTGCTGAACCACTCTGTGGTGAACAGCCTCAGCCACCTAGATCTTTGAGCAGATCTGTGATCATTGCATTAAATTCAAGGGTGTGTGCTTATTTTGAAGCTTTCAAAACGGATTGCCAAATTGCCCGCCAGAAATCATTTTACATTCTCACCAGCAACGGAACCTGCCCTTTCCTCCCTGCCCCACCAGCCCATCCCTTTCCAACCAGGGAAGTATCATTGTTTTGACTCTTGATGAAATAAAGATAAAGAAAACTAGGCTGGGCACCGTGGTTCACGCCTGTAGTCCCAGCATTTTGGGAGGCTGAGGCGGCGGATCACCTGAGGTCAGGAGTTTGAGACCAGCCTGGCTAACATGGTGAAACCCTGTCTCAAAAACACAAAAATTAGCCAGGCGTGGTGGCGGGCGCCTGTAATCCCAGCTACTCAGGAGGCTGAGGCAGGAGAATCGCTTGAACCCGGGAGGTGGAGGTAGCAGTGAGCTGAGATTGTGCCACTGCTCTCGCCTGGGCAACAGTGTGAGACTCCGTCTCAAAAAAAAAAAGGCAAGGGATGAATTTCTTAGTAGAAACTTAATCACCTTAGTGTTTTTGTGAGATCCAGGGGGAGAACTGAGATCCACCCCAGCCTCAGCAAGGGTGCCAGGGGTCAGTAAAGATGACTCGAAGTGTTTTGTTTTACTTTGTTTTTAGGGTTCATATGTGTTCCCCCTACCCCACCCTGGCCCCCAGAAATGCCAAAGTAGTAGCATACACCGGCTGGAAAAGCATCACCAATGACTGACCAAAATAGGACATGCTACCACCCCCCAAGGAGCGGGGCCAAGCGTCTGGGGCCTGGCCTGCAGGCGTGTCCTCGAACACCAGATGCAGCTGTCGGGCCCCAGCCGGTCTTGCCCTGGCCACTGCCCTCACTCTCACACACCAGCCTCCCAGGCCTGGCAGTGCCTCCAGCCTGCCGGAGTTTCTCTCCCCTTGGGTGTTCTGTGCACGCTCTCCCCCTGCAGGCCGACCTCTTGGATTTATTTTTGTTTGTTCTTGAGTATGGGATACACTTAATTCTGTTCAACATCCAGAAGATAGAGGGTCCACTGTGAAAAGTCTTCCACCTTCCCCTGACCCCTCCCCTTTTCACGGGGATGGGCAGTCGGGGAGAGCCAGGGGTTCCAGAGGGGCAAGATGGGTGCCCGGGACCAGCCAGGCCTCAGTTCTGCCATGGCTTCGTCTGCTGAGGGGCTTGCATAGGGCAGCAGTGAAGATGGGAACGGCGCCTGGGCGGGGTTACTTGACTTAAGGCTGAAGGGACAGCATCCGTTTATCTTGGCCAGTTGCTTCCCTCCAAGGGGCCCAGGGCCATTTCTGCAGGTGACACCCATGTCGGAAGCATATCGGGAAGAGGCAGGTAGTGGGGGCATGACGGTTTGGCCACCTTTAGCCCTGGGAACCCAGGCCGAGAGGAGTAGCTGCTTAGACAGGGCCTGCAGGAGGGCTGGGCTGTGGCCCCCAGGGGGCGCCAACTCCCGCCTTAGCCTTTCCCGTGGACCTGGAATTCAGGGCAGCACTTCCAGGGGGTCTGTCCAGCAGTGCACTGAAGCCGCCGCCCTCTCTCCACAGAGCCTGACGGGCCACACGTCCCCAGTGGAGAGCGTCCGCCTCAACACCCCGGAGGAGCTCATCGTGGCCGGCTCCCAGTCGGGCTCCATCCGCGTCTGGGACCTGGAAGCTGCCAAAAGTAGGCCCCCGAGCTTGCCTCCTGCGCATGCGCGCCTCCCTTAGTCTTCAGGCTCTGCGGTCATGCCGCCTCCTCCAGGAAACCTGCCTGGACTAGGTTGGCTGCTTTGCTCCTGGAGCACTAACCGGGCAGTGTGGAAACCACTCCACCCCCATTCATTTGGCGTTGACATGCACTGCTGCCTGGAGCAGCTGAGGGCCTGCCAGAAATGTCTGCATGAACCACCATGTGGATGGATGGGTGTGTGTGTGTGTGTTTGGATGTGTGCGTATTTAGAACCTCGAGGGATGTCAGATGCCACCAGGAGCCCTGCAGGTCACCTGACTGAGTGAGGTGGCTGTGTGGGACAGCTGTGACGAACCAGGGAGCTTGTACCCTGACTCAAGGTGGTCCCCACTCTGCCTCGGCTCCATCATGCCACCAGAGGCAGCCTGGGATGGCCAGATCTGTTTGCTTGAGCCCTGTTTTAATTTAGTTTTCATCTGTATGGAAGCTGTGCATAGCCTAAAATGTGAAACCTCCAATACCAGTGGTTCTGCAGTGAATCACAATGGAAAGAGGAGACTTCTGCCCCACTCTTTCCCGTTCTCCAAGAGCCACAGCTTTCTTTTCTTTTTCTTTTTTTTTTTTTTTGAGACGGAGTTTTGCTCTTGTTACCCAGGCTGGAGTGCAATGGCGCGATCTCGGCTCACCGCAGCCTCCGCCTCCTGGGTTCAGGCAGTTCTCCTGCCTCAGCCTCCTGAGTAGCTGGGATTACAGGCACACGCCACTATGCCCAGCTAATTTTTTGTATTTTTAGTAGAGACAGGGTTTCACCATGTTGACCAGGATGGTCTCGATCTCTTGGCCTCGTGATCCACCTGCCTCGGCCTCCCAAAGTGCTGGGATTACAGGCGTGAGCCACCGCGCCCAGCCGAGCCGCAGCTTTCTGTGCATTCATCTGTGCTCTGCTGATCGCCTCTGCCTTTCTAGACCACATGGTCGTACTGCAGTTTCTTTCTTTTTTAAAAATGCTGGGGCTGGGCACTGTGTCTCACGCCTGTAATCCCAGCACTTTGGGAGTTCGAAGCAGGTGGATTACGTGAGATCAGGAATTCAAGACCAGCCTGACCAAGATGGTGAAACCTGTCTATACTGTAAATACAAAATTAAATACACCGGGTGTGGTGGCGCATGCCTGTAATCCCAGCTACTGGGGAGGCTGAGGCAGGAAAATTGCTTAAACCTGGGAGGTGAAGGTTGCAGGGAGCCAAGATCGTGCCATTGCACTCCAGCCTGGGCAACAGGAGCGAAACTCCCATCTAAAAAACAAAACAAAAAAAGTGTTAACACATTAGTTATTCCCTTCCTACGCTCTCCCATGGCCACCACCCCCGGCCCCATCGCTCGTGTTTTTCCTCCCACCCCGCTGTTTCAATAGACACCATTTCAATAGGCAGTGTTTAAAACATAAGGACTGCATAAGGGTCATTTACCACTATTTTTTAATAACTTGGTTTTTCTGGAGTTAATTTTTTTTTTATCCATGTGTTTTCTATGTCCATATTACTCATTCATCCCCAAATTATCTGCCAGAAGGGTAAATCTCCTCCTGTTTCTTTGAAACCCATCCCATAATCCAGGAGCCTTTTTTCAGAGCCTCTCCTCCAGTCCTAGTGGCCTGCAGCCCAGCTGTCATCCGTGTCTCCTCTCTGGGGAATTCTCTTGTCTGCTGCTCCCGATCCTACACCGCCACCGTTCTTGGTTTTCCCCCTCTTTTTGATGGAGCACATTCCTTCGAAGCTTACTGAGAAAGGGTGTGGGGCAGGCATAGTTTTAGAGACCTTCTATGGCTGAAAGTGACTTTATGCTATCCCCAGCGTTTGCTTTTGTGTTTGTTTTATGAGTTGGAGTATAGAGTTTGACGTTGGCAATAAAATAGCCCCCTCAGCATTTGGAAGGTGCAGCTCTACCGCCTTTTAGGTTCCAGGGTAGCTATTAAGAGGGGCCAGTTCTGTTCTGATCCCAGATCCTTCGCAGGGGACCGGCGTCTTTCCACGTTCTCTCTCTTCTTTCCTCTCTCTCTCCTTTCCTCTCCTCTCTCTCTGCAGGCTTTTGGGGTCTTTGTCCCAGTGTTCTGGTGTGATGAGCCTTGGGGTGAGTCCGTTTCCACCCTGTGCTGGGTCCTTGCTGGTTTCTTGCAGCTGTGGTCTGGAAACTCATGCCCTCAGGTCTGGGCCGAGCAGAGAGTCTCGCCACTGCCCCTGTGCCTTAGCACGTGGTGCCAGCTCTACCGATTTTTCAAGAGAGGCTGGAAATTAAGCCAATTTTAAAATGTTGACAGCTCGTTCAGCATTTTTTTCATAACACCATACAGGCCAGCACGGAGGTCCAGATAAGACCTGTTTAACTGATGCTTTTTTTCTTCTTTTTTGAGATGGAGTCTCACTCTGTCGCCCAGGCTGGAGTGCAGTGATACGATCTCAGCTTACTGCAACCTCCATCTCCTAGGTTCAAGCGATTCTCCTGCCTCAGCCTCCTGAGTAGATGGGATTACAGGCACCCACCACCACACACCCGGCTAATTTTTGTATTCTTTTTTTTTTTTTTTTTTTTTTTTTTTTTTTTTTTTTTTGAGACGGAGTTTTACTCATGTTACCCAGGCTGGAGTACAATGGCGCCATCTCGGCTCACCGCAACCTCCGCCTCCTGGGTTCAGGCAATTCTCCTGCCTCAGCCTCCTGAGTAGCTGAGACTACAGGCACGCACCACCATGCCCAGCTAATGTTTTGTATTTTTAGTAGAGACGGGGTTTCACCATGTTGACCAGGATGGTCTTGATCTCTTGACCTCGTGATCCACCCGCCTCGGCCTCCCAAAGTGCTGGGATTACAGGCTTGAGCCACCGCGCCCGGCCAATTTTTGTATTCTTAATAGAGACAGGGTTTCACCATGTTGACCAGGCTGGTCGTGAACCCCTGACCTCAGGTGATCTGCCTGCCTCAGCCTCCCAAAGTGCTGGGATTACAGGTGTGAGCCACCGAACCCGGCCTGCCTGATGCTTTTTGATAGCCCTGGTTGGATCTTCCTGTGTGCCAGGCAGGAGGAACCTACCTGAAGCCCTGGAGAGGAAGCGGCAACATGGATTTTGCCTTGGCTGTTTTTTTCCAGAAGAGAGCCCCTCTGGCCTGGCTGAGACTTCAGGATTCTTCTGGGCCTCTCCTTGGTTCCTGCTCTATGTTGGCAGCCAGGCAGCAGCCATGGGCCCCGCCTGCACAGTGGTGTGTTCCCTTTGCTCAAGAACGGGGCTTTCTGTGTGGGTGGCACTCAATAAAGACGTGCCCCAGGCCTCTTCAGTGATGCTTGCCTGCACAGTGCTGGTCAGTTTAAGAAAGAGCCCAAGGACCTCTTTGATAACACACAGGCCTGCAGGCTTTGCATCTCGACGCGTGATCGCGCTGCCTGGCCACGCCGGGGCATCTGTGCTTGGGCGTCGCTGAATGCAAGAGGACCAGGGAGGAGCGAGGCCAGCATGGCTAGGCTCTAATGGAGAAGGTGGGAAGCTCGGGCAGGAGGCGGACAGCTCCCTGGACCTGAATCCCAGCGCGTGGCCACCAGCCATTCAGTAGTCACTAAAGAGCAAGAGACAGAAGAGAGAAGCCAAGGGCGCCCTGCCCGCCGTCCAGGCTTTCTCAGCCACGGAGGTTTTGCTCATAAGGGAAACGTGAGGAATTTCTGGAGGTGGCTGAGAAATGAAAACTGAAGACTGTTGCATTTCTGAGCCCTGGACGGCCCGGCCTGGCTGCTCCGCGGGGAGCTCACTACACACGCACGGCCCAGACCTCGCCTCCAGAAAACCCGATTCAGTACTCGGGTGGGCCCAGAATCTGGATTTTAATAAGCTTCCAGGTGATTCTGACGGACAGCCAAGTTGACAGATGGGCAAATGGGGGCCCAGGGAGAGCAGCGAGCTTAGGAAAGTGTGGTGGCTGCAGGTAGCAGAGCCTGGGACTCCCATCCCAGCGCTCTCTGTTCTGCCATTGGATGGAGGAGAAACTTGCCTTTCAGCAGATAAAGCTAAGACCTCCAGCCCCCACCTCCACCCCCACCCACCAGAGTGTAGGCGACAGTGACAGACAGACAAACTGAGGCCACAGGTGTAGAAAGGTTCTAAAGAGAGCTGTCCCACCGACATGGTGGCTCACACCTGTAATCTCCGTACTTGGGGAGGCCGAGGCAGGAGGATCACTTGAGGCCAGGAGTTTGACTAACCTGGGCAACAAAATGAGACCCCTGTCTCTATTTAAAAAGAAAGAAAGAGTGCTGCCTATCCTATCGGTGGCCTTGGAAGGCCACCCATCACTGGAGGACTCAGATGTGGGCTGAGCAGCTGCTCAGCTGGGAGGGCTTGGGGGTTCCTGCAGCGGGCAGGCAGACCCCGGAGACCCCTCCACTCTGCAGTTCCTGGATCCTGTGACTGAACCTGGGCATCAGAGGCCTTTGTGGGACAGAAGAGCAAGGGCAGGAGTCAGGCCAGAAAAATGTGGTCCTGCCTGCTTTCCACAGCGCAGCCAGAGGGCAAGGGTGGCTCAGCCCAGGGCATCCCACAGGATGCCACAGGAGGGTGGCCGGCGCTCCATGCAGCCAGCCCACACAGGGCGGGACCCCACCACATCCTCTCTGGGTGGGGCAGGATTTTGGAAGCCTTGCCATGGGATCCAAGCTGAGTCGGCTGGGAGCAGGAGCCAGTGTGGCCTCCTTGGCCAGGAGGCAATGCCTAGCCCCCAGCAGCACCTGATAGCTACACACAGCAAGGAGGGACAGCTGCAGAGATTCTGATGCAGGTAAACTGGATATGCATTCCACAGACTCCAGAGGGATGTGGAAGTGCCCAGACCCAGCTCCAGTGCCAGACAGGGCCAGCTGCAGAGGGGCACTGAGGCCTGGGAAGGAGGAGAGAAGGCCCAGCTTGTGGAACAGCCAGGAGCAGAAGGCAGGCCTCCTGAAGGGAGAAGTGTGAATGGGACTAATTACGGCTGCCATTTATTGAGCACTTACCATATGCTGAGCCCGTGCTAAGTGCTTTATGTCCATTTGTTTTCTCCATTCTGTGACCCCACATGAGGCTCAGAGAGGGTAAGTGATTGCCAGGGTCACACCGCCAGTGAGGGAGGAGCCACGGCTGATCCCAGTCTGATGCCGCAGCCCACATCCTGACATTGGGGCGGAGAAGATCATACAGTCGAGTTCATTTCATTCACCCGTGCGTGGATCTCGGCTCTGCAGTAGAGTGCTGTATATGGAAGCTTGAACACCACCTCCGACAGCTCACAAGGCACCCTATTTATTGTACCTTGGCTCAAACCTAAGAATGGCCGGATGCCCACGTTTTCTGGCCCCAGCACTCACGGGATGATGGGTTTCATTCAGACCGTGAATTATACATTTTTCCAAAAGCAGGACACATGAGACAAATTTGAGTGGTGCTGGAGGACACCCTGAAACACACAAGCTTTCCCTCCAGGCTGGGCCGCGCCTGGCCGTGGAGCTGCCTGCTAAACCTTCAAGGAAAGGATGGGAGATGCGGTTCCTAGGGCAGCAGGAGGCGATCAGGCCCCACTCTGGTCCTCGCGTGTCCTCCTGGTGTCCTCTCAGTTTTCACAGCTCCTCAGTGTGTCCTCACAGCCACCCTCAAAATCCCTTGGATGGGGTCACCCCAGCCACGCCCTCTATTGCCCTCCTTAGGGCCTTTACCCATCACCTCCATCTACCTAATGGAGCATCCCTCATCCTCCACCCACTGACACCTACTCAAATACCACCTCCTCCATGAAGCCTTCCTGGATTTCTCTTTCCAACCAAGCAGTTTCTCTCCCAGCCTGAACCCCTCCTGGTCTCTCTCCTTGCACTGTCTTGGGTGGGGTTGGGTACCCCGCACACCATCAGCTCCACATCTATGGGGCCTGAACTGAGTGCAGTGGTTCCCTGGCTCTGCTGCCGCTGGGGCACAGTCTTTGGGCAGTGCAGTAGGATTTCTGCAGACTTGAGGTGACCCAGGGGTGTCATCCATTAAGAGAAATGTAGAAAAATTAGTTGTCAGCTGGGCGTGGTGGCTCATGCCTATAATCCCAGCACTTTGAGAGGCCGAAGCAAGTGTATCACTTGAGGTCAGGAGACCAGCCCCGCCAACATGGTGAAACCCCATCTCTACCAAAAATATTTAAAAACTAGCCAGGTGTAATGGCACATGCTTGTAATCCCAGCTACTTGGGAGACTGAGGCAGGAGAATTGCTTGAACCCAGGGGGCAGAGGTTGCAGTGAGTTTAGATCATGCCACTGCACTCCAGCCTGGAGACAGAGCAAGGCTCCATCTCAAAAGAAAAAATTAGTTGTTAAGGGGTGAGACCCTTGATGGTTTCCCCATTTTTAAAATATGTGTCATTGTTCTCTTTTCTGTGCCTTCAATGTGAAAGCACACACACACGCCCGCCGCAGCCCTCCCTCCGTCAGCCTTCCCACGTGCCTCTCAGCCGCTGTCTCTGCTTTCCTCCTTTTTAGTTCTTCGCACACTCATGGGACACAAAGCCAACATCTGCAGCCTGGATTTCCACCCATACGGCGAATTTGTAGCCTCCGGTTCCCAGGACACGAACATCAAGGTGAGAAGCTGTTCCATGCCCTGCGTCTCCTGCTGGGACTGCGGCAGGACCGGTTCGGCCCTCAGTGCTGGGTGCCCACTGAGGGAACCTCTTCCCTCTCTGCAGCCCCATCCACACTGTCCTAGGTAAGGTGGGCAGCAGGCACCTGCCAGATGCTTCTGCTCAGAATGCCAGCTTTAGTGAACAGTTTCTGTCCTTGTCACCGTGAAGAGTAACGACCTAGAGGAGCTTGGGCCCCGCCCTCTGCTCACGGCCACACACACTGTCCTGACTGTGTCTCTGGGCCTCATTCATGACCTCTGCTGACTCTGCCCCTCTGCTTCTCTCTCCCCCACAGCTTTGGGACATCAGGAGGAAAGGCTGTGTCTTCCGATACAGGGTAAGGGTGGCACTCTGTTGGTGACTCCATCAGCACCTTGCAGGCGCTGAGTGTGGCATGGTGTCCAGACCCGGGCAGGGGGTGGAGGGGATGGGTGAGAACACGAACCATGGATCTGGGGCCCGGCAGGAGCACCATGGGCAGCCACCTGGACCCCAGCTCCATGATCCCCTAGAGCCACGTTCATCAAACTGCCCCAAGCAGAACCAGGCGAGTCACCTGTGTGGTCAGATGGAAGGGGTCCCACGGGAGTGAGGAGGCAGGGAGAGGTCTGTGGGCCCAGGATCCCAGGGTGAGCTCGTGCTGTTCCTCCCTCAGGGTCACAGCCAGGCCGTGCGGTGTCTCCGGTTCAGCCCCGATGGGAAGTGGTTGGCGTCGGCCGCAGATGACCACACTGTGAAGGTAGCTCCCCCCAGCCTGACCTGGGCCCAGGGGCCTGGGGCCTGGGATCTGCTGATCACAACAGACCGAGTCCTCACCTCCCTCCTGATCGGGCCCACATGCCCCATGCCTGTCCCAAGCGGAAGGTGCTTTATGGATAAAGAGCTTGGCCTGGTTTAAAAGAAGGGTGGGCAGCCAAGGTGCCTGGCCCTGACCTCCCTGCCCTGCCTCCAGCTCTGGGATCTAACTGCTGGCAAGATGATGTCCGAGTTCCCGGGTCACACGGGGCCTGTCAACGTGGTCGAGTTTCACCCCAATGAGTACCTCCTGGCCTCCGGCAGCTCTGACAGGTGAGGAGGAGGTGCGGGCAAGTCGCTCGTGTCTGCAGCTCTTCGCCACCGTGTCCTCTGCATGTCTCTGCTCCCGCTCTGTCACTGTCTGGGGTGTCATACACTTGATGATCCTTTGGATTTCAGCCAAGCCAGGATGGAACCCTGCTCCATCTCCCCTGCTCGTTCCCTGGCCCCAGTGTCCCAGGTCTGTGGCTTCATGGGCAGGTTTGCACCCAAGGCACCTAGTGGGGCCCTATAGGGCAGGAGGCTTACAGCTGTTGTGGCCAGCCCAGGGGCCAGGGCCATCGGACTCAGCCTCCCCCTTGCAAAGTCAGGGCCAACCCTGCCCCAGCCATTGTTCCTGGTGGCCGTGCCCTGGGGCGAGCTTTCTAGAGAAGCTGGTTCCTAGGGGCCTGTGGAGGCCAGGACTCGGGGAGAGGCTTCACAGCACAGCCTGGCTGCCTTTGCAGGACCATCCGCTTCTGGGACCTGGAGAAGTTCCAGGTGGTGAGCTGCATCGAAGGGGAGCCTGGACCTGTCAGGTACGCAGGCACGCGTGGGTAGCGCAGCGCTCCTCTGGGCAGCAGGGCGTGGCTGCGGGTGGGCCTTTCCCTTCTCTGCTCTGTGCCCTCCCTGCCCCAGGCTCCCTGGGTTCCTTGGGGTGGGGACCAGGCTGGGTGCCGCAGGACCCAGAGCCATCTCTCGCCTGGCCCAGGAGCGTCCTCTTCAACCCGGACGGCTGCTGCCTGTACAGCGGCTGCCAGGACTCGCTGCGCGTCTACGGCTGGGAGCCTGAGCGCTGCTTTGATGTCATCCTCGTCAACTGGGGCAAGGTGGCTGACCTGGCCATCTGCAATGACCAGCTGGTGAGAGAGCCATGGCGCCCACCACCCCCTACTCCCACGGGGCCACCCGCCTTCCTCCACCCCAGACCCCTTTTCCTACCCCACCCTGGGGCTGGGATTTTGCCCTCTCAGCTTACAGGCCCGGCCCCAACTTTCCACTTTCTGCAGATCGGCGTGGCCTTCTCCCAGAGCAACGTCTCCTCCTATGTGGTGGATCTGACTCGTGTCACCAGGACTGGCACGGTGGCCCGGGACCCTGTGCAGGACCACCGGCCCCTCGCGCAGCCGCCGCCCAACCCCAGCGCCCCGCTCCGGCGCATCTACGAGCGGCCCAGCACAACCTGCAGCAGGCCCCAGAGGTGGGGGCCTAGGGGCCTTCGGGGGCACGGGCGGGCCTGTCACACATAGGGGAAGCCTCGGGGCTGCAGCCCTGGGCCTCACAGGGCACCTGCTTCCTTTGGGCCTGGCCTCTCTACCCCAGGGTGAAGCAGAACTCAGAGAGCGAGCGCCGCAGCCCCAGCAGCGAGGATGACCGGGACGAGCGTGAGTCTCGAGCCGAGATCCAGAATGCCGAGGACTACAACGAGATCTTCCAGCCCAAGAACAGCATCAGTGAGGCCGGGCTCCCACCCCCAGCCCAGCATCCCCATCTGTGAAAGGGAGGCTGTGGGTCCTTCCAGGATGGCCTGTCGCGGCTCCATGTCCCTTTAGCTTCCTTCTAACCCACACCTGGGCTCCGTGCCCCATCCTCACGTTCCCTGGACTCACCAGGCCATGCTCTGATGGAAGTGAGGGGGGCCTGGGCACTCCCCAGCCACAGCCCAGCAGCTGCTCAGTGTCCCAGTCTCTGCCCTGCTAGGGACAAGTGGGCTGGGAGGAGACTGAGGAGAGGGGCAGAAACAGACACACACGCGCACTCTCCCAGGACTGAGGCTTCCTGTGACCGGAGCAGGGTCCAGGGTCTGCAGCCACATGTCTGGTGGCCACCCTCCACCTCCCATGCTCTGATAGCGCCCTGGGTGCCAGGTGGCCCAGCCAGGAGCGCCCACAGCCAGGGGCCTCTTTCCCCTGCAGGTCGGACACCACCCCGGAGAATTGAGCCCTTCCCTGCACCCCCAGAGGATGGTGAGTTGGATAAGCCTGGCTTCCCAGGGTATCTGACGCCCCACACCCCACACCCCACACCCCATCCCTCACCTCTCCCTGTGAGTTCTGACAAGCCCCTTCCTGGGCCCTCCGCTCTCAGGACACGACCGGCAGCCTCTCCCGAGGGGTCTCTGCCCTCCCCTGGGAGCCTGTGCCCCGGTGTGTGGGGGACAGACGTAGACACCGCCACATGCACGGGCCCGCCAGGGGCGCTTGGACTGTGGAGGACAGAGAGGACTCCCTGGGGGCCCACCTTAGAGGGGGTCAGCTCTAGATGGGATGATCGGAACACCTGCTGAGGCCTGGGGACCGGCGAGAAGAGGGAGAGGGGAGCGCTTCCCACAGGAAGGGAGCTGAGAGGAGGGAGCTGGGGTGAGTCCCAGCAGGAGGTCAGGCCACGAGGCCTCAGCTAGGGGTTTGGATTAAGAAGGGAGAAAACGGCTGTGCTGTGGGTGAAGGGGCAGGCGTGGGGACCCCTGTCCTACAGTGTCCCCTGCCCTCCTGGCCTCCCTTCAGGGACCATCCTCGCCCCTTCTGGAGGCTGGGTGGTTTCCTAGGAGCCTCCACCCCCTCCTTGCCAGTCACTCATCCCAGCTCCCTCCATATACACGCCAGTGAAGGGACAGGATGGCCACATCCTGGAGCCCCCTGGGTCCCACCCACAGGCAGACCTAAGGTTGAGCTGGGGGAGAGAGAGGAGGCAGGCCCAGACTTGCACCCAGGTCCTCTGGAACCCCCATGCTACTGAATCACTGCCATCTTAACCCACACTGCTGCTTCCACCCCCAATACAGATGCTGCCCCGAGCCCCGCCCTTCCTGCCAGGCCCTTCTGGCTGGACCCAGTCATCTCCTTTTGCATCTTTTCCAGACGTGGCCACAGCAAAGGAGGCAGCAAAGCCCAGCCCTGCCATGGATGTGCAGTTCCCGGTGCCAAACGTACGTTCACGGAGGGGCATGAGGAGGGGCCTAGAGAGGGTCCTGACCCAGGGTTGGGGGGGTCCCTCATGTTGGGAGGCAGAGAAGGGGGCCCCGAGCTGGCGCCCACTGAGCTTCAGACCCCTTCAGCTGGAGGTCCTGCCCCGGCCCCTGGTCGTCGCTTCCACACCTGCACCTGCACCCAAGGCTGAGCCTGCCATCATCCCCGCCACCCGCAATGAGCCCATCGGCCTGAAGGCCTCTGACTTCCTGCCCGTGAGTGGGAGCCCAGGGCGAGGCGTGGGTGCAGGTCTGTGGGTGGAGGGCACAGCGTTGCTGCCGGCTCCTCCCTTGCCAGCATCTGGGTGCCCATCCCACGCAGGCTGTGAAGATATCCCAGCAGGCCGAGCTGGTGGACGACGATGCCATGTCACAGATCCGCAAAGGCCATGACACCATGTGTGTGGTGCTCACCAGCCGCCACAAGAACCTGGACACTGTGCGGGCTGTGTGGACCACGAGCGACATCAAGGCAAGCACCCACCCTTGCCCAGGGCCTCGCCTCACCCCTGCCCCTGCCTGCCCGGAGAGGCCACCCATGGGGGACAGTGTGAGATATGCCATCCCCGCCATGACACCATCTGTCTCTCCCATCACGGTCACCACAGGCTGCCATCTCTTCAGCACCTGTTGACAGGCCTGGCCTCACACTGAGCGTGTCAGGTGCAGCGCTGTGAACACCCCACAGCCCCATCAGCACACCGACACTCATGTTCGTGCCCCCACCCTCGCCCTCGGGGTCACACTGCGCCCCACTGCCCCACCCCCTGATGGTGCTCTGTTTGCACAGACGTCGGTGGACTCTGCTGTGGCCATCAACGACCTGTCAGTGGTAGTGGACCTCCTGAACATCGTCAACCAGAAAGCGTAAGTGACTGCCGAGGGGGAGGGGCGGAGGGGTGGGGCAGGGCTGACGGCAACATGTCCTGGCCTCTCCTAGCTCCCTATGGAAGCTGGACCTGTGCACCACGGTCCTGCCACAGATCGAGAAGCTTCTGCAGAGCAAGTATGAGAGGTGCGTGTGGGGAAGCCACGCCTGCCTTGAGGAGGGGGAGGGAAGAGGCAAGAAGCCTCCTCCAGGACCATGGCAAGGGCCCCCAAGGGCTTGGGTGTTCCTGTGAACCGGCTGTGAAGCTTTGCTGCCCCCTCAACAGTCCAGAGGTGGGAGTGGAAAAAGGCGTGTCTGTGTGTGTGTGTGTGTGTGTTTGTGTGTCTGTGTGTGTGTGTTTTTCTGCCTCTCTCCTGTGTTCCTTGCTGTTTCTCTGTCTGTGGCCCTGGGTCTGTCTGTGACCATCCATCTGCCCTTGAAGCTACGTCCAGACGGGCTGCACCTCCCTGAAGCTGATCCTGCAGCGGTTTCTGCCCCTCATCACGGACATGCTGGCGGCCCCGCCCTCCGTGGGTGTGGATATCAGCAGGGAGGAGAGGTGAGGGCCAGGCAGTGCCTGTGTGGGGGGCCAGGGTGCCACAGCAGGTGAGGGACAAAGGCCTGGAGGCCCGGGCCCCTCTTACTGACAGTCCTTCTGGGACAGTGTCTAGAGGAGGCGCTGGTCTGGGGCCGTGGCTCGGCGTGGTGGGCATAGCCAGAGTCCTCCCTGGCCTGGCTGTGTCCCACGATCCCTGGCAGGGCCTCCGCCTTCCCCTGGGAGGAGGGGCTGGAGCAGTTAGGACAGCAAAGGCCCTGGGGTTGGGGGTGGTGGCAGTGCCACCTGGCCCTCAGGCCCTGCCCTGTCTACAGGCTGCACAAGTGCCGGCTCTGCCACAAGCAGCTCAAGAGCATCAGCGGCCTGGTCAAGAGCAAGTCGGGCCTGAGCGGCCGCCACGGCAGCACCTTCCGCGAGCTGCACCTGCTCATGGCCAGTCTAGACTGAGGAGCGGTGGGCGGGGCGCCCGGCAGCCCACAGGGCCTGGCCTCAGCCCCCACTCCTGTTCCTTCTGCGCCCACCGGCCCGTGAGCCCCTGCTGCTGCCCTGTGGCCATCCTGGAGGTGGTGACGCTGGTGCCTGGCCACCTGTACAGCCCCAAACTCTGAGACAACTCTCTCCAGCAGCAGCTGCCCAGCTTGGCCCAACTGTTGCTTCTTGGGGCAGCGAACTGAGCTCTGGGGCTGCTGCTGTAATTTATAAGGCAAATTTTATTAAATTTGTAGCTATTCCCAGGTTTCCACGTGGGGGATGTTTTCCGCTGGCCACAAGGCTCCCCCAGGCCCAGGAGTGCCTGCCCCTCCTCGAGACCACGCCCCCTCCAAGCCCTGGGGCGGGGCTCCGGGCCATGTGGCCAGCAGGGGGCAGCAGAGACCCGGGCCTGTGGGACAGGCCCAGTTCAGACTGGGAAGGAAGGGGAGGTGGCAACCACCCTTCCACCACTCGGTGGTAAGGTGAGGGGTGGGCCCCGCCAGCCCATCCCTCCCCACCTCAGCCACACTCAAGCTGTCTATGGACACCGCCAGGCTTGCCCAGAGCCCCTTCCTTGTCCCCAAGGACGCCTCCGGGGCAGGACTGGAAGGACAGCCGCTCCTTCCTCTGAGCAGGGCTCTGATCAGCTGTCATTCCCAGGCAGAGCCCCCAGCACTGGCTGGTGGGAAAGGGCCCATCCTGCTCCCAAGGCAGTGACCAGGTACAGCCCCGCCCCAGGGTGGTCAGGGTCCTCTCGGCACTGGAGGAAGGTGATGTGGACCTCTGGCTGGTTCACTGAAGAGGGAAAGGCCAGGGCAGAGGGTGGACACAGGGCAGGCAGTGGGCAGCACCCAGCAGTGACCAGGAAGCCCAGCATGGTTTAAGCAAGGCTTTGATGAGCCTTTAAGCTCTCTCCAGCCTTCATTTCCTTCCCATCAGTCACAGGGAGGGATGCCCCCGCAGGGAGCTCGGTCAGTTATTGTGGGCACACTTTAGGCACTGCCTGAGGTGACTGTGACCACAAACAACAGAAAAAGTGACCCAGGATGGGACAGGACGGGCTCCCCTGAGTGAGTCGTTAAGGACATGTATCCCTAACTGACCTACAGGACAGATCCTGAGTTGCTGTGGGGTGACAGCCAGCAGGCAAGTCCACAGGAACTGCCAGTGTCCCCATTCCTCTGATCAGACCAAGAGGGGCTCACAGACCAACTCTTTCAGACCACACTTGTGTAAAAAGGCTTTTATTTTAATAAGTAAAAATGGCAAAGCTTCCAAAAGTTCTTAAATAGGATTTCAGAGGGAAGAAAATTCAAGAGGCCAGTGAGCCAGGCAGGTAAGGGAGCAGCAGAATCCCCCACCCGCCAGCTGCCTCTGCCAGCCATAACTACGGCACGGCCCTGTGGCAGGACACCGTGTGCCTCTGTCACTCCGTAGCTGCGGGACCCCTCCTTGGAGGAGAAGGGGGGGGCAGGGCTGCCCTTGGTGCCACCAACACACCACAGTCTCCATGGTTCCTGGGCCTGCCGGAGGCTCCTCTCCCACCTGCCAAGGAGGGGGCTGGCCAGCCCTGCAAGCTGAGGAGCCGGGGCAGCCTGGGGGACCCTTGTCCGCCCCTGGCCAGGTGAGAGGCTCGCCCTCCTTCACATTCCTGCCCTCCTCACGGGCCCAGCTTGCTGACGGCCCAGGCCTGCCAGGAAGAGCAGCCACCCCTGCCTTTCCACCCATGCAGTTTGTGCTCAGAGCCACAGCCGAGAGACACCATTTCTTTCTGAGCATGTTTCTCATCTCTGAGGGGAGATGGGGCAGAAGAGGAGCCTCCGCTTGCCTCCACCTCCAGGGTCCTGGCGCTGCAGCAGGAACAGGCCAGTGAGGCCTCAGGCCCAGCTCCAGGCCCAATGGGGTGGGCACCTCCATCACACAGGCAGCGGCCGCGACCTCCCTGCAGGGGCACCAGAATCATCAGCCTCTTGTCCACTTGCCCACTGGCAGCCCACGGCAGGTGCCGCTGAGAGCAGGAGGGAACCCAGCAGAAGCGCACAGACAAGCGACAACGGAGACTAGACCCAGCCCTGAGCAGCAGAACGTCCCAGCACAGCCCTGCAACCCACGGCGGGCAGGTGGGCGGGCAGCCCTGGGCCACTGGCCCCACACTCACCTAGAGACTCTGCAGCCCCAGCCGTCAGGCTGAAATCAAAGCGACAGGCGTCTCACTGGTGGGCTTGCCTCAGGCCAGGACCTCACAGGACCCTGCTGCTGCTAACCCTTTGGACCCAAGGATGGGTCCAGTCCCTCCCATGACCTGGGCTAAGCAGGGGCTGGAGCTCTGTGTCCTGGGTCTGGGTCCTGGGGCAGGCTCACTCCTCACCAGGGATGCAGGCAAGGCCTGCCCTTTCCACCCCCGGGGTAGGGAGGGGGCTTACTGCACAGGCTCGCAGCCCACCCCTAGGGAGCAGGGTCCTGGGTAGAGGCAGCACCCTGAGCTGGGAGGCTGGGGTCTTCCTAAACTGCCTTCTCCCCACAGACTGTTTCCCACCTGCAGAACGGACACAGCATGGTCCGCCCTGACTCCTCCCTAGGGGGCACAGGAGGTTATAAAACAGGTTCTGAAAAAGTCATACAAACTTTTTTAAAAGGAAAGGAGAAAAAAAGCCCATCAGGTAAAGGCAGCCTGGTGACTATAATCCTGGGAGAGACTCCCCCTCCCACCCTGCCACTCCCTCCAGACTCACCCGAGGGCTGCAGCTTCCTCCGGATGGAGCCAGGGCGACTACTGGTCCCGGAGCTGGGTGCTGAGTGGGCCCGTGCCGAGGGCTGTGGCATCTGACAAGCTGGCTCCCACTGCGGACAGGGAAGGGTGGGAGGATGGGGGCCACGGCTGCCCCGGCCCCAACCCCACTGTGCTTCTCTCTACTCCCCTGCCCTGCCTCCTAACACTCAGCTTCCTCATCTCCATGATGCTTGTGCCCCAGCCTCATGTTATGGCAAGAATTAAATGAGATAATACATGTAAAGAAGTCAACTAGTTACCACTTAGCACCTACTGTGTGCCACCCCCATGGCCAGCTGGTCACCCCACAGGAGCCTTGGAGGCCGAGAATAAATACCTGCACTGAAGAGGCTTCTGGCTGTGGGTTCCACCCACCTCCAGCAGCTCCCCCCCCCCCATGTTCCTGCCCAGCTCCCTGCTCCTGCCATGATCCAAAGTCTCTGACCCAGGGCTACCTGAGCCAGGTCTCTGGCAGTCCCCGTACCTCTAGATGCTCCTGGCTTGACCAGGACCCAAGCTCTGCCCTGCGTAGCCCAGGCCCCAGCTCCACAGAGCGCACCCGCTCAGCAAACTTGAGGGAATAAAGTGTCTCACTGGTGTTCTTCTCCACCGGGGACACCTAGAGGACACAAGAGCTCACTGCCCACCTGGGCCAGCTGGAGGGGCAGCTGGAGATGTCAGAAGGCCTCCTGGAGAGGACCGAGGGACGGGGTGGGAGGGCAGGGAAGGTGGCAGAGGTGGCGTGGTCAAAGGTGGAAAGGAGGGACTGGGAGTTACACCAGGTGTGTGGCCAGGTCTGGGGCAGGGGGCTGTTGCTGACTCTGGAGCTGCTGAGACAAGGGTCCCTCTGCACAGCCTGGGGTGCCTTGCTTGCTAGCCAAGCACCTACACACTAGGGACTGCCCCACCCTAACCCAAGGCCCTCACCTGTACCACCATAAGGGTCTTGCTGTCACCACTAAGCGAATCCTGCAGCAGGTAAGTGAGCTTGGAGTTGCGGAAGGGCACGTGGCCCTGGCGGGAGCGCAGAGCAGCAATGACGTCCCCCAGAGCCGACAGTGACTTGTTGATGTGCTGCGCCTCCCGCAGACGGCTGCCCTCAGCCCCGGACTTGCCCACGCGCTCCGAACCAGCCAAGTCCACCAGGTTCAGCTTCCCTGCAGGGAAGGCACCAAGCACATCAGGCCTGCCCTGCCCTGGGGGCGTGGGGCCCCTCAGGCCAGGCTGCCCGCCCCCTCACCCGTGGTGCGGAGGCCCGTGCTGCAGTCCACGCCTCGCACCGTCACGATGAGCAGCGCATGCGAGCGGGAGCTGTGCTCGTTCAGGTTGGTGAACTCCGTCGTGCGGTTGGTGTGGCCAAACTCAAACACCTGGGGGATGGGGAGCAGGAGGGTGAGGCACGGCGTTGAGAATGTGGTCCTCAGAGTCACCTAGCCCCGAGCACCCCAGAGGAGTGGCACCACCCCCCGCAGTTTAGACGAGGAAACAGGCTCAGAGAGGCATGGGCACTTGCCCGAGGGTACACGCTTAGGACACAGCAGAGCCGACATTCAAACCCAGTTCTGTCCTCTAGAGAAGCGTGGCTGTGGCCAGGGGCCCCCTCCTCCACACCTTGTTGATGTCGTCCACACTCTGCACCTGGAACTCAGTCAGCCCTGGCACATACAGCTGTCCACTGCCGTCTGGGCACAGCCGGATCTCCAATTTTTCCTGAGGCTCTTTCCCCAGCAGGTCCCTGGAGGGGCAGGTGAGACAGTCACCCCCTCCTCCCATTTCCGGCTGCTGCTTGTACTGCTTCCAGACCCCCAGTCAGGAATGTTCCCCCAACCCACGAAGCCTTCTTCAACCATCAGCTGAGCACATCTCCTCCAGCTCCTTCCCCGCACTCAGCTGAACAGGTGGAGACCTCACTGTTGCCCAGAAGGCCTGTGGATGGCGCTGCTCCTGCCTCCGCAATGCAATGAGCCCCTGCGGGTGGGGGCCCCCAGCTGTCCACTCCCACTCATGGCCACCTGCTGCAGCCCACAGGGAGGACAGCAAGGATTGCTTGGGTCTGGGCTGGGGCAGGCTCAGAGAGCACCTCTCCCCCCCCAGGACCACCCGACCCCCTGGGCAGAGTCACAACTTGCAGCTAGGTCCCTTGACAGCCTCACCTGGTCCCTGCACTCCCTTCAGGAAGACCCCACTTCCTATCTCCCATTACTCCAGCACCACGACACCTGAGGACCCCAAAGCTGCCCCTGAGGCCTGCTCCCCTCACGCTGGGGCTCCCACCTGAGGACCTCGTTGTAGATCTCGGCGGCGCTGACGGTGATGGTGTACTCCCAGTCGGATGCCTTCTCCTGCACCTCGGAGAAGAGCAGCTGCAGGGCCCGCTGGTTGATACCTGGGTTCTCAGGGGTCCCCTGGGGGCAGAAGGAAAGGCCCCAGTGAGCCAGGCCTGTCCCCGAAGATGCTCGTGTGGCATCTGTCCCCCAAGCCCCTTGGCTACCCCTCACAGGCAAGCCTCCTTGCCCAAACCTACCTACATGCCACTGTCCCCCAAAATGCCCTCTGCCAGCTGCAGGCTACTGTGCCTCTATTTCCCCACCATTAAAATGGGATCACCCTGCCAGGACTGCCCTGAGACTTAGGATACAGCGCTGGGGTGAGGGGCCTGGCCAGACCACACAGGGCAGCTGAGGGACAGGTACACGCCTGGCCCTGCAGGGCCACCTAGAAGGGGCACTAGAAATGAATGACCCCGCCACTGCCCAGAACGGGGCTCAGTCTCAGGGAGGCTGTGACCTGGGTTCTGTGGGTGATGGAAAGGAGGCACAGGGTCCTGGGGCGGGAGGGGTGGGCTGGCCTTTCTAGAAGGAAGCCTGGAGTCCCCACCTGGGCCCTCAAGGCCCTGGGAGTCTGACCCTCGCCCCTCCTCTGACAGCACCTCCCACCCGCTCTCTATTCCTGCCGCCGGGGCCTCCTGGCCAGGCCTCAGGTGTGGCTGGTGTGCTCGGGCCTCTTGGCCTTGACCCTGCAGCTCCCTCTGCCCCAGGTGCTCCTGTTTGCTCCTCGGCCAGCTCAGTCATCTGCCTCAGGGAGGCTGCTCCCAAGATGCTCCCCTCCTCAGGGAGGCAGTTCCTTTGCCCAGCACCCCCAAACACCCTGTCCCTTACCCCTTGTCAGTTCCACATCCCTGGCTTTATTTTTCTCCCTGGCCTGACAGGACACTCACTGATTTGTGTGGACCCTGCTGTCTCCCCACAGCCGGGTTGGTCCTGTGGGGCCAGGGACTGTTTGGTTCACAGCCATGCCTGGCACAGTGCCTGATATGCTTCAGGCCCCAGCAGACATGCCTGAGGACAGGCGCTCTGATGTTCCCGGGGATCACCTCAACTCTAAGCAACTCCAAAGCACAACTGGGAGCCCGGCGCTGCACACACCCCCTTCCTCCTCCCGCCTGGCCTGGCCTACCCCCACTAATGAGTCTCACCAGTCCCAGAATCGAGGGAACAGCAGAGTCCAGATGGGAAATGGAGGGCCGCCACGGCAGGCCCCCACCCAGCAGGCCCACCCAGCCCTTACCCCTGTCCAGACGCCGGGCACCTGGCATCCTCCCGACCTGGGGAATCCCACTGCACCCCTCAAGAGCCAGGGCTAGCTTTCCACTGCCCTCTACCCACAGTCAAGCCCCTTCCTAGTCTCAACACCCCCCTCCCTGGCCGGCTACCTGCTCCACTACACCTGGGAGAGAAAGGTGTGGCCTGGCCCAGGGGCCGCCTGGCAAGAGCCGGGCTCCCCCAGTCCTGCTGGACCCATCGAAGGTGCGCTTGGGCCAGGGGGTCCCCTCTTCAGGCCTGGTGCCTCAGGGCTCTGCTTCTGGGTTGTGAGGACCAAATGAGGCAAAACACACATTGCACAAAACCCCAAGACCAATGAGGGAGCCTGCATTCCCTTCACACTTCACTGTGAACCATCCCGTCGGGCAGGCACCTACCTCCATTGTGTACGTCTTGCCGGCCCCTGTCTGGCCATACGCGAAAATGCAGACATTGAAACCATCGATGCAAGAGGTGATCAGGGCCTGTACCTCCTGGAACACCTGGGAGAGTGGTGGGAAGGAGGCTGGGGGACTTCCAGGGCCCCCCACCAGCTGCAAGTCCAGCCACCTCCCCAACAATGCTGTCCTTCAGCAATACCACAGCATGTGTTACTGCAGTCACTCAGCTCAATGATTCGTGACTCATGAGTCACATGTTAGACATCAGTGGGCAACCAGGCCGCCCAAAGATTACAAGGAAGAAGACAGGCCAGCGCCTGCTGCCCTTCCGCCAGCTCCTCCTGCTCCCTCTCTCAAAGAGTGCGCAGCACAAGGAAGGCAAAGGCCAGCACATGCCTGGTGCCTCTCTGGCCTGGGCCTGCCTGCCAGCCACCAGAGAATTGGGGTAAAGGTAGAACCAGACATGGGCACAGGAGGGCACAGGCATGGCAGGTTGGCCTGGGCAGATAAGGGAAGAGTGGACGCTGAGAACACATGGTTCTTATACAGCCTGGGGGCTTAGGGGGATCCCTAGGAAGGCCCAGGGGACTGATACAGGAGGGTACTCCTGCATGGAGATGGACAGGGTCATGAAGATTGATGAGGCCATGTGGGTGGGTAGTCGCAGGCATGAGAGGGGGAGGGGCTGTGATGGTGGGAGGGGCCTGAAGGTAGGTGAGGCCATATGGTGGGAGCGTGGGAGGGGCACAAGGTAGGAGGGGTGGGAAGGGCCATGCAGATGGGAGGAGCCACAGCCATGAGGGTGGGATGGGCTGTGATGGTAGGAGGGGCCTTGAGAGTACATAGGGCCACACAGTAGAAGGGGCCATGTGGATGGGAGGAACCACAGCCATGGTGGTGGGAGGGACTGTGGGTGGAGCCATGTGGTAGAAGGGGGTGTGGATATAGGAGGGGCCACAGCCAAGAGAATGGGATGGCTTATGATAGTGGGAAGGGCCTTGAGAGTGGGTGGGGCCACACAGTGGAAGGGGCCATAGGGATAGGAGGAACCACAGCCATGGGAAGAGTTGGGCCGTGTCTGGAGCTCTCCTTCCTAAGCAGGCTTCCAAGGCCTTCAGTCTTAACTTCCCCCCACTTCTGTCCTCCAGAGGAAGGAGCCAAACCCTGGCTCCCCACTTTGTATTCCTACATCCCCCACTCTTGCACTTCTTCCTGCCCAGCCCCTCTCCCTCCATGTGAGTCCATCTTTCCCTCCCTCCACTGCTTTCCCTTTCCCTCACGGGGCTACACTCACGTCCTGCTGCGAGGCATGTGGGGAGAAGACCTTGTCCAGCTCAAAGGACACAGGCTTGCCCTTGTGCAGCAGGTGGATAATGGAATCATCGTCGGCATCGAAAGTCACAGCATTGGTGGCCTCAGGCCCTTCCCCATCCTCTTTGGTGACTGGCCGGACACGAGCAATCACTCGGATGTTCCCTGCGTTGGTTGGGGATAGATGGAGAGATGGGCCCAGGCCGTGTCAAGACCAGACTCCACTCTGGTCCACTGGTCTGTCCCAGGCAGACTCATTAGCCTAGGAGTCCCCCAACTTTTAAGCATAGTCCCCTAGAGGAAGGAAGCTCACAAAGCTGTTATCAGTCACTCACACTATAGTATGAATTCACTTAGTACATTTTCTTCCTGAACATACCAGGTGCCAGGGGTGGCACTCTGCCTTGGGGATGGGGTGGAAAAGTCAGTTGTGGGGCTCAGGCACTGCGCCCAGTCAGGGTGAGACACCAGAACAGACACTCTCTTTTTCTCCCTGGTCTTCAGTTTCTTCCTCTAGACAATGAGGGGCTTGGGCCCCAAAGAGCAAAGAGCCTTGTCCTGAATGGCAGGACAGGGCTTGGGAATCAGATGGGCATAGAGGCCTAGGCAGCAGGTGATGACTGGCAGAGTATCTGAGGGCCCAGATAATGGGGCAGCCACAGGGGTATCTGGTGGCCCGAGCTAGTCATGCCACCATCTACTTCCAGCCTTCACTGGGATCCCTGTGCTCCTGGAATGAAGAGGAAACGCCCCCCACCAGCAGCATGATCCACCTGCCCTCCCACTTCGCCTATCCATTCCAGCTCTCACAGTCCAGGTCTCAGTCTAACTTTGCCTTCTCTGGGAAGCCTCTCAACATACGTGACTGTCGCATACCCAGGAGCCTGTCTCAGCCCTGGAAGCGGGCAGGGTTGGGGTTCCTGACAATTAATCATCATTGTCCATTCTCACACTAAAGTGAGCATGGGGAAGCAGTCTGTGGGGCTGTGACCGTCGCCTTGACTGTAGCCTCGGGCTGGAACGGCCCCTGGCTCAGAGCAGGTGCGCTAGAGCTCCACGCAGCGAATGGTGGAGTCTCAAGCTTCACCAGGCCCCAGGTCAGAACAAGTAGCATTCTAGCCGTCCCTAACCCAGGGCTGCAATACCACACCCCTTGGCCACCCAGGGCCTGGGGAGTCACCTGCTCGGACATTGGGGCTGGGGCTTCTGAGCTGGACAGACCCAAGTTCAAATCCAAGGCAGAACATTTACTAGCCATGTGGCTTTGAGCAAGTTCCCTGCCTTCTCTGTGCCCCCATTTCCTTATCTACAGAGATAGGATCAGAATAGTGCCTAAGTGGTGGGGTGGGCTCCAAGCATGACTGCCAAGCCAGGTCAAGGACCCCGAGGCCGGCACCCACCCCCAGCCCTCCCCCGTCACCTTTCAGCCGCACGAGCTCATTGTGGCATTTCTTGCGCAGCTGCAGCTCGCGCCGGTACTTGCGCAGCAGCTCCTGGTTGTTGCTGTTGACCTCCTCGATGGCCTGGCCTATCTGGTGGGGGAATGGAGGTGCACACCGCCATCAGGGGGCTGGCTCCAGAAGCCTTGCTGGCTCAACTGCCCACCTGTGAGGAGGGCTCACCGCCTCCCACCCCTGGCTGAGAACCTGACACCCACTGTCACATATCAGATGGTCCCAATCACCCCTCTGGGTAGGTACTGCTTCCATCCCCATTTTACAGATGAAGAAACTGAGCCCCAGAGAGGCTAAGCTGACAGCTCGAGGCTGCTGTAGCGCTTGATTATGTGATTCAGCCGGATTCAAATTCCAGCTCTGCCCCTGAGTAGCTGGGGACCTGAGACCACTGGCTCAATGTCTTTAAGCCTCAGTTTTCTCATGGGGAAGACAGGGATAATACTATCTAACTCATAAATCTGTAAAGATCTCCCAGTTACATTTCACAGGGGAAAAAAGATGCAAAATCACACATACAGTGTCACATTATGCAAATCACACATCCCCTTTCTGGGGTAGAAGGGAAGTGTATACAGTCATCCTTGGTAACTGTGGAGGACTGGTTCCATGACCACCCCCACCCCAGGATATCAGAATCCGCAGATGCTCAAGCCCCTGATATAAAATGATACCGTGTTTGCCTGTAACCTACACACATCCTCCCTTATACTTTTTTTTTGAGACAGAGTCTTGCTCTGTTGCCCAGGCTGGAGTGTAATCACAGGTCCATGGACATGGTGGAAACTCACTGTGAGTGGCATGATCTTGGATCACGCAATCCTCCTACCTTAGCCTCCTGAGTGGCTGGGACTATTGGTGCAAGCCACCGCACTCAGCTAGTTTTTAAATATTTTTTGTAGAGATGGGGGTCTCACTATGTTGCCCTGGCTGGTCTTGAACTCCTGGGCTCAAGTGTTCCTCCTGCCTCAGCCTCCCAAAATGTTGAGATTACAAGCATGAGCCACTGTACCCAGCCCCTCCCATGTATTTTAAATCATCTCCAGGTTACTTACAATACCTAATACAATGAATATGCTGTGTAGGGGCTGGGTGTTGTGGAGTTCAAGACCAGCCTGGGAAACATAATGAACCATGTCTCTAATAAATATTCTTTTAAAAAATATGTACGTAGCTGGGCGCAGTGGCTTACACTGTAATCCCAGCACTTTGGGAGGCCAATGCAGGCAGATCACGAGGTCAAGAGATCGAGACCATCCTGGCCAACATGGTGAAACCCCGTCTCTACTAAAAGTACAAAAAATTAGCCGGGCGTGGTGGTGTGCACCTGTAGTCCCAGCTACTAGGGAGGCTGAGGCAGGAGAATTGCTTGAAACCAGAAAACGGAAGTTAGAGTGAGCTGGGATCGTGCCACTGTACTCCAGCCTGGTGATAGAGTAAGACTCTGTCTCAAAAAAAAAAAATGTATGTAATATATTTTTTGTTTGTTTTTGAGATAAGAGTCTCGCTCTCTCACTCAGGCTGGAGGGCAATGACATAATCTTGGCTCACTGCAACATCTGCCTCCTGGGTTTAAGTGATTCTCCTGCCTCAGCCTCCCGAGTTGCTGGGATTACAGGCACCTGCCACCATGCCTAGCTAATTTTTATATTTTCAGTACAGACAGAGTTTTGCCATGTTGGGCAGGCTGGTCTCAAACTCCTGACCTTGTGATCTGTTCGCCTCAGCCTCCCAAAGTGCTGGGATTACAGGTGTGAGCCACCTTGCCTCACCTGTATGTTTGAAATATGAAGTTAACTGTAACATGTTTGGTTTAAAGAGTCATAGTAAAGGCCGGGCACAGTGGCTCACCCTTGTAATCCCAGCACTTTGGGAGGCCGAGGCGGGTGGATCACGAAGTCAGGAGTTTGAGAGCAGGCTAGCCAATGTGGCGAAACCCCGTCTCTACTAAAAATACAAAAAAATTAGCTGGGCATGGTGGTGCGCGCCTATAGTCCCAGCTGCTTGGGAGACTGAGGAAGGACAATCGCTTGAACCCGGGAGGCGGAGGTTGCAGTGAGCCGAGATCGTGCCTCTGCACTCCAGCCTGGGTGACAGAGCAAGACTCCGTCTCCAAAAAAAAAGAATCATAGACAAATACCTGAATACTTGCCCTGAGCAGTCTACTCTCAAACAGGGCCTCTAAGGGTAGCAGTAAGTGTCATGGTGGGTGAGGCGAGGCTGCTGTCTGAGGGGCTTTGTCTGTGCTTCGGAGGGAAGCCCTGGGTGGATGTCGTGCCTCTCCCAGTGCACCCCTCAGCCCTCACCCTCCCACCCGCTGCCCCCTTACTCACCTCGGCCTTGACGCTCCTGAGTGCCTCCTGCAGCAGCAGCGGGAAGCCGCGCACCTGCCGCTTGAGCCCGTTGTAGTCATTGGTGAGGGTCCGCAGAGCCGGCTGCAGTGTCAGCAGGTTGGTCCGAACGCCTGTGGGGACACTCAGGGTGTGAGGCTGGAGGGGATGAGGGGCTGTGGCGTGGGGCAGACAGGGCCCAGCCGGCTAGCTCACCTGCCAGATTCTCATGCACAGCCTTCATCTCCACCTGGGCTCTGGCGAAGGCCTCCTCGATGGCCCGGTTCTTGTCCTCCTCCAGGGACTGCATCTCCTCCAGCATCTGCCCATGCGCCCGTTCCAGCTCCGACTCGTACATGGCAATCTGGCAGCCACACCAGGAAAAGGATCAGTAACTCAGGGTGCGGGAGGGAGGCAGGGGCCATACCGAGAAAGAAGCCCCACTGCTCACTTCCCATGCATGTGAACACATGTGTGCACACACACAGCAGAGGAGTGGGCTGGCCTTCTCTCCCTCCCCCATAGGGCTGTGAGCTCTGTGCACTCGCCCCGGCACCAACCCAGTGCTGACCACACGGCAGGTGCCCAAGCCACGCGCCCTCAGGAAGGTAGGAGAGGACCTCTGTGATGACAGCGACGGGTGCCACTGTCGAGCTTACAGAGCACAGCCTGTGTGCTGAGCCCTTGGCAAAAACCTTCTTGGGATCACGTTCCTGAGTCCCCACTGCACAGTGGGCTCTGGGACCAGATAGTGTTGTAAGAGATGAGGAAATGGTCTCTGAACAAAACTCACCCCGGATCCCATGGCCATGAGGGAGAGGAGGGACTGGACCCCACGTCTGCGGGTTGCCGAATGTTTAACCAATGCATTGGCTCAGGGCCTGCCTGGCTTCCTGGCCGGGTGTGATTCCCACGCGGCCTGCCTACCTGTGCCCGGAGCCGCGCGGTCAGCTGGTGCGAGCTCTGCAGCTGCTGCTCCATCTCCTTCAGCACCTGCCTCTGCATGGCCACCTGCTCCTGCAGGTGCTGGTTCCGGGCCTGGGACTCACTGAGGGCCTGCTTGGTCTTGGGCGACTCCACCTCCACTGTCTTGATGACATACTGTGGGGCAAGGGAGGAATGGTGCATGGAGCTCAGCGGGCACCACACCTCACTCCAGACCCTGAGACACAGCTGGCCAGGGGAAGGAACCCTCAGGAACATCCCACTCAGAAATGCGGGAAAACCTAGAGGAACCTTGAGGTCCTGGCTTTCCAGAAAGCTGCAGGGTCTCCTGGAACCTTCTCATCTTAACAAGAGGCTACTGTGAGCCTGGCTGGCCCCATCCTGGGACAAACCAGAAAGGCAAAGGTGAGGGCAGAATCCAGGGGCTGTGCTGCATCTGTGCCTGGCACCTCAGCTGCTGGACGCCTACTCAGTGCCTGGCCCTGGATAGCAAAAAGGAGATGGGGCAGGACCAAGCACAGAACAGGAATGATCCTCCACCTGCTCGCACCTACCTATTCACCAGGACAAGCCCCTCTTATGGGCTGGCCACCCAGGGGCCTTGGGTGGAGGCACAGATCAGGTGGGCCAGGGCTCACCTTGACAGGTGGGGACTGGGCCCGCAGGCTGGCGATGGTCTCGTGGCTGTCACGCAGGCGCCGGCTGAGCCGCTCCTCCTCCTGCGCCTTCTCAGCCAGGCAGTCCTTGAGCCGCAGCTCCACCTCGGCCAGCCGGTCGGTCTTCTGCTGCACCTCCAGGTTCAGCTCTGACAGCATGCCTTTGCTTTCCGCCATCTCCAGCTGCAGCTGGGACAGCTTGTCACGGAGCTGGGCACTCTCCTGCAGCCATTGGGAGGCACTGGGTGAGCGCGAGGGACAGGCTCACGGTGAGGAGCCGGGTGGCCCTCCAGGACCAGCATGGGGGCCTCGGCCATTCTGCTCACCTGGCTGTGCTCACAGCCCGGGCAGGGGCCCAGTGGCTTTGCACGAAGCTCCTGCAGCTCGGCCTCGCAGCGCCGCATCTCCTGCCTCAGTCGCTCATTCTCCACCATCAGCAGGTCCCGGTGCTTCTCCAAGTCGGTACCCCCCTGCAGAGAGCCAGGGCCCAGGGGGCGCATGTGGCAAGGGCAGAGGGTGGGGAAAGAAGAGGGGCCAGTGGAGATGGCACAAAGGCAGGAGAGAGAGGACAGGTGTGGAGAAAGGCAGAGGGAAGGAGAGAAAGAAAACGGCAAGGGACGGAGAGGAGGGAGTGAGCTCGAGAGAGAAACCAAGGAAAAGACAGTGGAGGGCCGAGTCCAGAGGGTGGCAACCTGGGGCCTGCTCTCCCTGCTGCCCCCATCCTATTCTGAGTGAGAAAGTCACAAGGAGAGGCATATTTATACCAGGGTTCACACTCCTGCTTCACGTCAGCAACGGAGAAGGAAGCTCCCACCCCTTGGAGCCTCGAGGCCTCTGAGGGCCCTAGGAGGTGGGGCTAAGCGCTCCTGGTGTGTTTCTGAGCCAGGGTGGGAAGTGCAGGCTCCGGAGAGAGAGGGTCGCACCCCCGCCCCCAGCAGGGCCCATCTACACTGGGCCGGGCCAGCCCCTGCGCTGCCCAGGACAGCCCTGTGGCCTCACCAGCTCGGATCGCAGTCGGCTCACTTCCTGGGCCTGGCTAATGAGCTTCTCCTTCAGGTGTTCCACCTGTGGGCACAAAGTCGGGAGCGAGGTGAGCCTCGGTCCTCAGCTGCAGCCCACACCCAGGCCTCCTGCCCAGCAGCAGGGATGACTGACGTGGCTGTGGCTTCTTCAAAGGCTGTGGGCTTAGGTCCCACTGTGTTCAAGCATCCCATCACACCTGGGACCTCAGGTGACAGAAACCTGGGCTGGTGCTGACAGCCTCCAGCACCCTCTCCCTCCACAGGACAAAGCCAGCCCCGGCTCTCCGGGAAAGCCCAGAGAGCAAGTGCAACCAAGGCCGCCCCGACGCCACCCGGGCCCACCGAGCAGCAGCCCACCCTCGGGACGCCTCCCGACAGAGCCTCTCCCGAAACCTGTACCTGCCTGTGTATATGTAACTTTATGTTTTCTCTCCTTAAAGGGGCCCCAGATTGTACATACTCCAGGCCCTCCCAGCCCTGGACCCACCCTGGCCCAGCCCCCAGAATTTTCCACTTGGGGTGGTCTCTGGCAAGTTGGCCTGTAGAGATGGGGCTGCCAGTGCCCAGGGCACACTTGGATCCTGTATCTATCCTGCTCCCACTACCGTGCAGGAGAGCTGTGGCGGCCACAGCTGTTAAAGGGAGAAGGGGGTGAGTGCCCCATGAGGAAGCCATGGCTACCTGGCTTATCTGGACCCCAGAGGAGGGGACACTGTCATGGTCCTATGAGGGCAGATCTCAGGGGGCAGCCCTTTCCTGGAGCTGTCCTCCAGCTGGCCATCCCCTCCAAGGCCCCCGACCCTGGTTTCACATCAGCCCACCCCCAGGAACCTCTCCTCGGGAAACAATCTGCAGACACCGACTTTGGCTCCAGCTTCCATAAGGGCCTGTTTAGACTTTTCTTGCAGAACGTCTCATGGTGAGCACCCCTCGCTCGGGAAACGTGCGCTAAGAGCCAGATTACTATGTGGTGGTTTAGGAGGTTAACGCAGCTGGGTTCTCATTACTAAATACAGGCGACAACGTCCACTGACTACAGGGGACAGCCAGGTAAGGCAGGTAAGGGGCTGTGCAAGGCTGGGCCCCCAAGAATCCCTTAAGAAGGCAGCCACCATGTGCTCCCCTCGGACCACGGGAGGTGGGAGCACACACCCAGCATTGCCAAACTTCTCATCTTTTAAGAGATGCCTAGGCCGGCCTGGGCAACATCGCGAGACCCCATCTCTCAAAAAAGTTTCAAAACTCAGCCAAGTGTGCCAGTGCCCGCCTATAATCCCAGGTGTAATCTAGAGGCTTGGGTGGGAGGATCACCTGAGCCCAGGAATATGAAGCTGCAGTAAGCTATGACAGCACCACTGCACTCCAGGGTGAGAGCGAGACTGTCACATACACACACACAAAAAGAGGCTTAGGGTCTGCTCCCTTAGCACAGCCAGCAGCAAGCCTCAGCCACAGTGAAGACAGGCCAGATATTTGGATTTTGGGGGTGTGTGTGTGTAAAATCTCCCTACTTTACATGGTTGAGATGTCATCAAACAAGTCTGTGTCATCAAACAAGGTAGCATTTGGCCTCGGAGGTCCGTGTCTCCCAGGGCTAGGGAGAGCAGCTGACCCACAGCATCCAGGCCAGCTCTGAGGTCAGGGAGGAAGTGAGCCAAGGGATCCACCCCCATCTTTGAGGAAAAGTCCGGAGAGCTGGCATTGCCTGCTCGCGGCGAGGCAGGGGGATTCCAAGACGCAACACCCAGCTGAAAGGCTGGGGGCCCAGCCAGGCCTCCTGGGGGACAAGCAGGTGACTCAAGGGCCAGGCCCCAGTAGGTCAGCTCTGCCACCACCTGCACAAGCACATTCCTTCCTAGCAACACGCTGGGCCACAGGTCAGGCAGAGAGGCAGAGCCTATGCCACTTCCCTGCCTGCTCAGTGCCCAATGACAGGACCGCTCAAGTCCTTCGGCCCCAGGTGCCAGCAGGGACAGTTTGCATGAGGCAGCCTTTCTGCTTTAGTCCTCAAATTGAGAATACCCTGAATACCCGGCATTAGAGGAGTGGGCAGGTGAATTACAATGTGAATATACGTTACATAGACTGTTAGGTCCTCACTCATTGCATTCATGTTTATCAGGAGTTTTAAGGGCTCATCAACATATTAAGTCAAAGAAAAACCTGAAAAGCAATTGAGTGTACAGTACTAAAAGTGGGGGTCTCTGGACTGTGGAATTATAGTTGACAAAATCTTCATATTTTTCAGTAATTTTTTTTTTGAGACAGGGTCTCGCTCTGTCACCCAGGCCGGAATGCAGTGGCATGATCTAGGCTCACTGCAGCCTAGACCTCCTGGACTCAAGCCGTCCTCCCACTTCCGCCTCCCGAGTGGCTGGGACTACAGGCATATGCTACCATGCCCAGATAATTTCTTTTTAAATGTATAAACCGGGTCTTGCCATATTACCCAGGCTGGCCTTGAATTCCTGGCCTCAAGCAATCTTCCCTACCTCAGCCTCCCAAAGTGCGAGGATTACAGGTGTGAGCCACTGTGCCCAGTCAGTAATTGTTACGTCTCGAAGAGTATGTATTCCTACTCTCCCTGCCCTGACATAAGTGAGTCAACTTCCTTTTCAAAAGGTTGGCGTCTCCTCCCACCCTGCTCCCCTCCCCAGATGGGCTGTTGCCTCAGCAGGGGGCTGGGTGAGCTGACCTTGATCATCTCCACTGCCGCCACTGCCAGGCACTCAGACCCTGATGCAGGGACAGGGGGGTGTGCCAGTGTTTGCTGGGGGTGGGAGGAGGGATACTAACAGGCCACCTGCCTGCAGCCCAGGGTCCTGTTCTGTTCTTGCATCACAATGGGAACCTGGGGGCTCCTGAGCTCTGTCTGGAATCTCAGAGGGGCACCTAGAAGGAGGTGACTGCAGCGGGGGCAGGCTCGGGAGCATGGGGGATGGTGAGGGGGTTGAGGAAGGGCCTGTAGAAAGCCCCTCTGTTCAGAGATGTCCGACAGTAGGTCATCTCAGGCCTGTCGTGGGCAGCGGAGCAGGGGAACGTGGCTGAGACAGCGGACTGGCACCACGAGCACGCTGGCCAAGGCACCAGAGGTCTGCTCTGTGGCAGGTGGCTGGCCAGCTCTACTGGGGGCTGGGGGTCAAGTTTGTGGGGAGATGCCCGCTTTCTCCTGCACTGAAGGCAGGCAATCTCTCAGAGCTGGGGAAACCGGGCAAGAAGTCAGAGAGAAACGGAGGCACCTGAGGAAAAGGGAAGGGAGATGGCCCGGTAGGAGTGAGAGCCAAGAGCGGGCAGGGCCAGAGGGTAGAGCCTTCCGCGGGGGAGACCAAGGGCCCTTCACACACTCACCTCGGTTCCCAGCCAGTGAGGGCCGTCTGTGTCTCTACGCCCAACCGAGGAGGGTCCCGAGTGCCAGCCTGGGGCCAGCACACAGCAGGGGCCTGATACATACTTGAAGTAGCCCCAAAGGGGCAGGAGCCACATGCCTGAGCCCAAGAGATAGGACAGAGGAGAAAGCAGGCTCCCCACCAGGGCGCTGAGACGGTCCCAGGGCAGCGTGGACGTCAATCCAGGGCTGAGGACGGACCAGGCTGGGACTGTGGGACACCTTTCCCAGGCCCAAGCTCCTCATCAGCCAGAGCAACTGAGTCACGGGCCTGGTGCAGGGGGCCTCACGGGAAAAGGGAGCTAGGCCTGTCTGCTGACTTGACAACACCTGCATTTACACATGGCAGGCTCAGCTGAGGGTGGGGCCAGCCAGCCCAGGTCTGTGTTTTCTCAGCTGTCTGCTCCCAAGGCGGCCTCTCAGCATCGCAGAAAGAAAACTGCTGGTTACCTCCTTACCTCCCACCAAGCCCAGCCAACGATCATCAGCTGTCAGCTGAGGAAAAGAGGGCTCTCCCAGGCCAAAGTTGTTGAGCTGGGAAGGCCAGAGGGCCTGGGATCCAGATGACCTCAAGGGAACTCAGTGCAGAGGCCAGCAGGTGGACGCCCTGTGGAACCCGCAGAAGGCCTGATCCTGGCTCTGTGACCACCCGCCAGGCCTGTGTGTCCCCTGTCCATGCCACCCTGCCTCTGTTGCCAAGTCTTCACCTCTGGGTCCTTCTGCCACTCATGGGCAGTAACAGCAGCTGACAATTCAAATTCTCAAGCCAGGCTGTCCAGGTTCTAATCCAGACATTCCCTTACCTGCTGGGTAACCTTGGACATGCCTCTTAAGTTATCTCTGTCTGTTGCTTTCCTTATTTGTATAATGATGCTACCTCATCAAGGCTGTCTCCGGGATTAAATGAGACGATATATGCGAATGAAAGATCTGTGAAGGCCGGGATTTTTGTCTGTTGTGTTCAGCACTGTACTCCCAGTGCCTGGTACGCGGTAGGTGTTCAGTATGTACATGTAGGAAGAATGCTGAATGCATGAGGGGCCAGCCAGAGCGGGGCTTGTGGATGAGGTTGGCAAGCAGAGGCAGAAGGGGCAGTAGGCTGGAGTGTGCTAAAGGATGCTCACCTCCACCAAAGGCAGGAGCTGCCACTCACCCTCAAGCAGCAAGTGCCATGTGGGAATGTCAGCACAGAGGTGCTGCCACATCTTTCAATATTTTGTGACAAAAAGGAAGTCCAGAGCTTTATGTGAATTTAAGATTTAAATGTTGGAATTAATTTGATTTTAAAAGCAAGGCAATTGGAACTAACAAATTCAAAGTTGAAGGATATAAAATCAACACCAAAAAAAAAATCAGCTGCATTTCTACAACTAACAATAAACAACCCAAAAAGGGAATTAAGAAAATAATTCCGTTTACAATAGCAGCAAAAAGAATAAGGTACTGGGGAATAAACAAAGGTTAAATATTGTATGCTAGAAACTACAAAATATTGCTGAAAGAAATGAAAGATGACACCAGTAAATGGAAAGACAGTCCATGTTCATGGATTAGCAGACTTAACATTAAGGTGTCAATACTACCCAAAGTGATCTACAGATTCAGTGCGATGCCTAACAAAATCCCAATGGCATTTGCAGGAGAAATGGAAAGATCCA